TCTATCTATCTATCTATCTATCTATCTATCTATCTATCTATCTATCACTCTGTCTGTCTGTCTGTCTTGTTTAAATTAGTTTATTTTTCAAATAATTAAATAATAAAAATATTCCAGATTTATGTAAAATATAAAATAATAGTTGTAATTGTCTGGTGGTTGTTATCAATAGCTCGTTCAGGAATGTTGTGTTTGTTTGATATAATAAATATATGTTTTTTTAACATTTGGTGTTAGTAAAATGTGTTTTATACAATTGCTTGCGTGGTTATACTGCTCAATGTTTCACAGCCTAATATACAGTCATTTAAAACATGATATGAATGCAGTTTTGTTATGCATTCAATTTTACAAAATTTGAAAAGATTAACGGAAAACAGTGCAAAGGTCATGAACAGTTTCTCACAACTTAAAGTGTCTTGCCTTTTGATAACTCATAATTTAAACACTTATTTGGTCTTGTGTACTTCCCGTGAGTGAACAGGATGCGCACTGTAACTACAAAGTGAATTACATTCTGGGTTTTGTATTCCAAAATAATCCCATGCAGCTCATTTAATTTAATTAAGTGTGTACTCTTACATATTTCAAGTTTAAAAGGGCTTTGTTCAATTTAAAACAAACTATAATATAAAAAAAATGAAAATCAGTTGCAAAGTTAGACATGACATAACCCTCAACTCATCATATGTTTTAGTTCTTACAGTGCTAAATAAGCTGTTGGAATCTGATTTAACAAGAATAATCAAGAACAAGCAGCTGGTTTTATCTTTACACAATAAAGGACAACACAGAACAGTGTTGATCGTCTGCTGAGTCGGACTTGCAAGAATGGACAGTTTCCAAATGAAAACTGAACAGAACAAAGTCTGAATCTGTGCTTTCTTTAAGGTCAAATCATACTGTATGACGAAAAGGCTCTAAAGTCAAGCTGCTTTAATCACATTATCTGATCGAACAATCATTTTGTATTTTAAGACCCATCGTGCACCAATCCATTTTATTTGCCCTCTTTATATTCAAGGTCACAGAGGAGCTGGTGTACATCTCCAGCAGTTATTACGAGAGAGGTGGGGAACGCCTGGAAAGTTATAAATCCATCACAGGGCCACACAGAGACAAACGACAGACAACCATTCACTCTCACTTCTGCCTAGGGACCATTTAGAGTTACCAGTTTACCTCTGTGGGAAGAAATGAGCACCCAGTTAATAGTAATACATTCATTCAACTTTTATTTATACAGGTTAGTCTCACTGAGCCGCAAGGCCTCTTTTACAAGAGAGACCTGTTTGACCATACATGCACGGGACAAACATGCAAACTCCACACAAAAAGACCCCTGGCAGGAGTTGACCCTGCAACCTCTTCACTGTGAGGCATCAGCTCTAACCACTTCTCCACTGAGTAATGGCTTGTTTTTCATTGAATATTGTATCAATGAAAACCCATTTTAAAAAGAAGCATTGTTGTAAAAAACACGAGATTTAAATATTCAGTGACTAAACATTAAACTGAATTATTTGCTGGTCAGTAACAATATAAAGATACTTATGATACTTTGCGGTTTATCATTAAAGACAAACAGACAAATAAGTGGAAAAAATATCAGTAAATTAACATTTTTGAACTTTATAGCTGCTGATGTACAAACTAACAACTTGCAGAGGAAATACTAACACATTAAAATGATTTCATCTGATTTATTTAAGAAAAGCAAGAATCATTTCCAGTGCCCTTTCTGTGTTTAAAAAAACCAAGAGTTGATGTTCTTACTCTGATTTGTTGAGAGCCAGACTGTTCCAGTAGTTCTTCAAGGGAGCAGTGACCACAGCATCAAATAACACCTCCTGGATCAGCTCTCTGTCGCCTGCACAATCATTAAAAACCTGATTAAATAATGAAATGATTCATTATAACTTCTTATAATGCTATCACCTATTTCTACAAATATCAGGAACAATCTGCATCTTGACTGGTTCGTCCCTTACACTTGAAATTCGATTTGCGGCCCATCATGAAGAGCTTTATGGCCTGGATCTGGCTCAGGTGACGGTGCTCGTGCTTCTCCTCGGTGTTGCAGTAGGTCCTGTGTGTGCGGCCCAAAAACGGTTAGCGCCACAGGGTGATATAACCTACATAACGCATGAACGACTGCTTTCACAACCCCTGCCTCACCATTCATCTGCCAGGGCGACATCTGGCTGTTCCAGATCACGGAGCCCTGAAAGAAAAAAACACAAGTCAGTAACGCTCCAGCAGAACTGGTCTGGGCTGATTGATGCACTGACTGAGTTTACGCAAGCACGAGTGTTTTAGTAACGTCCAGAAATCAGATCAGTGTGTCGTGCTCATCACTCTTGGTTGGAATTAAACATGTTGCACAGTAAAGTACCTGCGTCCGTGGACACATTCCCTCTGAAGAAGTATTTCCCATGACCTCTTGAGAGAGCTACTCCCACACTGGAGCCACAAACACAAGATAATCAAATCATTGTTTCAGTAAACCTGACAGAAACTGATTTAATAACGTGTTGTTCACCTGAATGGAGTTCCTTTGATGTCCGTGTAGTAATAGTCATTGTGCATCTTGAGCACACGCCTCTAAAAAAACAGACTTGTTAATTTAGTCCTGAGAGCAGAGAGAGCAACCATCATCTGATAAGCAGAGACAAAACAGCTTTATCTGCAGCCTCACCCCTCTGTCCACAGTCCTCTTCACCTCCATAGAGAAAGTCCCCGTCCTCCTGTTTACCATGGCGTTGCGAAGCTAAGAGATAAAGAGCCCAGAGCAGAAAGGTTCGTCGGTGATTTAACATCCTGTCTGCTCGGGATCTCAGTGCAATTTCACTGAGCTGCAGAAAACTGTCCAAAACCATTATGATAGTTCTCAGCATCATTTACTCTGATGGAAGCCCTTAATACGATTGAACAAAATTATTAAAAAGTTATGTTGCAGATCAAACACATTTAGCACGAGCTTAAAGCAAAAGTCCAGATCTTTTAAAGTGAGGTTCTGTGAAAAGATTTGGAAGTTAATATCTTACCTGTTAAAGATAACTCTTTGAATGACCACAGTTTGGAGAAACAGAAATTATTTATATGCACAGATTGTTGAGCTAATTACCACCATATTTTTCACCCAATAAGTCGCTTTTTTTTAATTTTGCATTATTTGCATGCCATGTGACTTATACACCAAAACGATGTATTTATGGATTTTTTTCCCCCATATTTATAAACCGGTTTTTGGCTGCGGTATGACCGTTTTAATTCATTCTGACTGAAAATATTGAACACTACCATTTTCAGCCTCTAGATGGCATTCGAGCAGTTTGGCATGCCGTTGTGTCATGTAATAGGTAAAAGTGGCTATTAAAGGCACAGTCAGCTTGCCATAGCCTGTCACCTTTGTCCAGCTCGCTTGGAGCAACCATCAAATCAGCTTTATTTCGCTGCGCCGCCCCGGTGAAATACAGCTAATTTGACCATTGAAGTAATTTATTAAGGACAAGTTCAACTTAGATACACCTTTGCTATAATGTCGAGCAAACAAATAATTGTTTTAGGTGCTTATCTTGTTAAATTTCAAAGAGATGCGCAGCGTTCCTCATTCCTGATTTTCTCCCTGTATTGCGGGAGGCAAAAGTTAGACTGAGACACACATTTACTACAATTTAGAGCAAACTAATAATTGTTTTTAAGTGTTACTCTTGTTAAATTCTTGTTAAAGTTCTCCCGTGCACGCTCCCGCAGCCGCCATTTGGCAGCCAATCGATTTTTGGCACAACACCGGCCCACGTTTCCGGGTTGTCAGAGGTGACGCGTAACAAACGCGACACGTAAGCCGTGATGCATAATAGATGCGACGTATACGACGAAGCAACGTATTTATGGATTGTTCCACTTTATTAGACATATTTGGACTGATGCGACTTTTAGGGCGGTGCGACGTTTATGGTGGAAAATACGGTAGTTCAAGCAGTGCCAAGGCCAGAGTGTATTTTTACCTCCTAAAACATCTTTTGTTGAGTCAAGTCCATTAAAGATGGCCACTACAGATAAACAACCTTTTCAAATACAGTAATTGCTGTAAATCAGTTGATTTTTCATACACTGAGCTAAACTTTGACGTGGGGTAGCTGAAAGTCATCCCCAACACATTTGTACATGACACATTAATAAATTTAGTCAGATCTGTTTTTTTAATGTTGCCATTACCTATTAGAGTTAACTGCATCTTTCTTTTAGCAAACATTTTCATGAACCGCTTGATGGATTTAACATTCATACAGTAATCTTTGGGTGTTACAATTTATAAACCTTTGAAATCAACACAATTAAAGATGGCGGCCACTGCCAACTGACCTTAGAGAACATATAAATGGCTGTAAAAGAGTTCATTTAACAGACACTGAGCTAAAACTGAGTGTCGTAGTAGCAGAGAATCACCCACAACTCAAAGTTCAAGAGCTACACATTGAACTTATAGGTTTTAGTTTGGAGTTCTATAAAACAGCAGGAATTCTCTTTGGTGTTAGCCTCACTCAGACTAACTGTTAGCTCATCTCCAGTCACAATTCAAGTCTATTTCTCCAAAGCGAGGATGTTCAAAGATCTACCTACAACAGGTAAGATATTAATTGTTCATAACTTTTCCACAGAATCCCATCACACTAAAACATAAACCATTTTCTAAACTCTAAACTTGTTTTCTTATTTCATAATAAGGTGTTTTCACGTACAATGTCGTCTTTGTCTTCCCACTCCACCTCGGACAGATCCACGCTGCTGTAATTGGGCTTCCTCCTCTTCTGACCTTCCTGATACTGCACAGAGTAACACAATATGTACAGTCTAACAATCACTTCAAGGCTTAAACAGAGTGCACACAGTTCAGCTAATACAGACAGAAATATCTGCTTGTGAACCAAAACGTTTTAAATATATGAGCCTGATGTGAAGCACAACAATTCATGGCTGTCTGAATGTCATAAAATGAAACTTCATTCGGTGCTATTATTTATCAAACACTGTTTGGAGCTTTTACAAAGTAATTATTTACCAAGTCATGTGTGAAATTAACACTGTCATGTAAAATTAAAAATAATTAATGTGATTGATAGAAAATCCACGCTCAGACAAGTGAAAGCATAAAAGCGAACATGAGAACGTTGTTCTGACCCACATGAAACGTCAACGACTACAGCCACAAAGAGACACAAAGACCCAGCACAGACTAACACACACAGTTACACAGAGAGCTGTAGCACTAACACTGGCATACACAGATCCACTAGCACAGCCGTGGCTCCGGAGGAACCAGCGGTCCCAGAGCGAGGGGCTGTGGTTTCTGCCAGCAAGTGTTAAGTTACCTCTGGGAAATCTCAGGCCAGCCAGCCATATGAGTGGCCTTTATCCCTGCATGCATACATCAAAGGAAAAGGTGGGATTACAGACTATCCAAGCCCACGTAGCCTCTTAGCCAGATAATACAATAATCTCTGCGTCCTTATATTTCAGATAAAGTACACAACAGCATTGGAAAAAACAGAAAGGGAAAATCAGGATCAAGTCAGGGAATGTTGTGAGACACTTTGTGTTCACGTGCAGAAAGTGACTTACCAAAGGCCGGAGGTCCGGATGTGTCAGGATGTAGCCGTTGTTAGTGATGGCAAATGCATATCCATGGATCCCTAACTAGAGACAGAAAGGAACATATGTAAGGCAGATTCACAAACTGCACAAATACATCAATCCAGAACGAGAAAGATAATTGTACCATATGTTTTGGGATGAGCTTCATCAGCTCCTGCAGAGGGATGTCTGTTCCTACGACCCCCAACAGAATACCCTGATTCTTCTGCATGAAAAGATTCAAGATGAACGCAAAACTTTGGCTAGAATTAACATTTAGGATTTGTCACACATTTGGAACAAAAGTATACACAAATAAACACAGTTATGTGAGAAAAGTTTTCCCCAAGTAGCCCAAGTTACTTGCAATCTTTAAAATCTTTCTTTAAATGTTCTTGGACTTTGGCAGATTCTTTTTTTTTAACTTTTTTCATTTTCAGCTCAGTTGTTTTACTTGACTGTGACAGCATATTGTGCAGTGGGCTTAAAATGAAAGAAGATGAACAAATGAGAAAACAAAGAAGATATTTTAGGCCTAAAAATCAATCCACAGTAGAAGAAGAGCACCTGAACGCCACATCTTTAAGTAACGGTACAAACACAGGACCAGAGAGATTATGTCAAGTTTTCAGGTAATAGTTCCCTGGAAATCACCTGGTTTGTGAAAAAAGCACAATTTTTATGTCTGCCCATTTTTACAAGTTTCTTTTATAGATTCAACTAAACAGATGGAACAAATTGTGAAGTAACAAAGTGCCTAAAGGTCCAGTTTAAAGCTGTTTTTTTACTTTGTTGTCTGTTGTGTGTCCGTACAACTCACAACTAGTTCATCCCTCAAAGTTAGTTGTATGCCTGAATGATAGAGGTGTAAGAAACAAACAAATAAACATCTAAACACAGTTTTTGGACAGAAAATGAGTGAAAATGCAGCAAATTCTGAAGAAAAAGTAAAAAAAAAAAACCTTTCAGAAAAATTGATAAAAGCCTTTAACATGTGAGAAAAGTCTGTCTGCAATAATTTAAAAAAAGTATTTTGCACAGAACTATAATTATATACATAAATACTCATGCATATCAGCAGAATGCACCTTAAGATATACTCTAGTTGGACTTTAAAAAGCCTTCAGTGTTTTACTTAATCCACAGACTTTCATTCTTCAGTTCAGCTCATAGTTGATCTTTTCTTTTCCGTTGCTTTGTGTTTTTTGTGAGGTATTGATTGCTACAAGTTCAATAACTGTCTTTCTGCTGAAACTTTAAACATCTCATCTCTTGAACAACTACCAGACAGTGAATCACAGTTTATTGATTGCATGGCCGTGTCTTTGTTGCTCCTCGCCTCACTGCAGTTTGTGATATTTGGAAAATGAACAAAAGAGAAAATCTGACGCTCGCTGGCAGCAAAGATGGTCACAGAGCCAAAGTTGTGTTTACGTGTAAAAGATAGAAGGAGAAATTAGGACCGTAAATCACTCGATGATGGCTTCACTCACCGTTTCATTCTTCGTGCTGAACACCGGCATGGCTACGGTCGTCGTCAGAGACGGACCTGATTTGTCATTAAGCTGAAAAAAATCAAACACAACAGAACATCAAAACAGACCGACAGCTTTCTGAACCCACTGAGGTCTTTTTCTCAGATAATCTTTTTAACCATCATTCAAGAAAAACAATACAGAGAAAACAAAACATACTTTATTTCACTTTTCAAAGTTACATATAAAAGTATAAAATGTGTTCAGTGTTTTGGACAAATTGGAAATTTAGAAATCTTACAGGGAAAAAAAAATTCAGACAAAATTTTATTAAATGATTTTAAACTAGGGCAGCACGGTGGCGCAACTGGTAGAGCTGCTGCCTCTCAGCAAGCAGGTCCCTGGTTCAAATCCCGGTCCAGGGGCCTTTCTGGGTGGAGTTTGCATGTTCTCTCCGTGCATGCGTGGGTTTTCTCCGGGTACTCCGGTTTCCTCCCACAGTCCAAAAACATGCATGTTAGGCTGATTGGTAACTCTAAATTGTCCCTAGGTGTGAGTGAGAGAGTGAATGGTTGTTTGTCTCGTTTGTCTCTATGTGGCCCTGTGATGGACTTGCGACCCGTCCAGGGTGTACCCCGCCCCTCGCACAGTGATTGCTGGACATGGGCACCAGCGACCCCCGTGACCCGAAATGGAATAAGCGGGTAAAGCAAATGGATGGATGGATTTTAAACTAAAATAAAGAAAATAATCACCACTGGAGAGATAATCACATTACAGTAGTCCCTCGCTACTTCACAGTTTGTTATTCGAGGTTTCGCTCTATCGCAGTTCTTCTTAAGTGTACTGTGCATGTACATAATATTTTCAAAAAAACAAAAACAAAAAAAAAACCCACCACCATTTTGTAGTTTTCTTTCATTAAGCCTTCACTGTAATGCCATTCTAAAGAACTACGTTACCCAGAAGCCTTCAGTTCACTTCCCAGAAGTCAACACTGCTCTTTCAACCACTGCTTTCTGCAAATGGAGGAACATTTTTTGTTGCAAAGTCAGAAGTTCTGTAAGTTCTGCTGCTCACAGGACTGGCAGGAAAGTCACAAATAATTCTGCAGCTGAACTCATCCTTTAAGTTGCATCTTCACTGCTGAGTAGCTGAGCTGCAGCTGATCCAGAATCAGTGTAACCCGGATCCTGGGAGCTGCAGACGACAGACAGCTGCATGGTTCAGTCAGGTTCTGGTCATGCGGTGCTGGTCCTGACCAGGCCAGAGGTGGTGGACTAAATCCTGGGCAGCAGCATGCACACATCAAGCTGGATGGAACTTCAGTCTTTTTTCATCTATCGGGTCGGACCAGAACCAAGCTGCTCCTGTACTGCAGAGCCTGGTAAGTAAAATTTTGTAGCTAATTTACATATAAATACTTTATGTTGTTAAAATTAGTAGCTTTAATAGTTTAGAGGACTGATTTGTGGGCTTCATTTCTGCAGGATAGTCTGCAGAAACTAACCGAGTTGGAATAAAACAGAGTTGGACTGGAACCAGAGCTGTTGCTGTTCTGCAGAGCTAGTAAGTAAAATTTAGTAACATATGTTGTTAAAATTACGTAGGTTTAAGAGTTTAGAACACTCCAAGATTGTGGGAGGGGTTTCTAAAGCCTTAATATAAAGTTTACTGTACTTGAACTTGAACTTCTGTATCCCTACTTCGCAGTTTTTCACTTATCGCAGGACTTCATGGTACGGACCCCGTGATAAACGAGGGACTACTGTATTTAAAAAAAAGAGGTGGTTTACAGTAAGTAAGATTTATGGTAATTTACCGGCAGTAATTCAATTAATGAAAACAATAAGGAGTATCTTAAAAACAATTGAATTTCTTTTAACAGCATAAAAGCATCAATATTTCATGTTTTACTTTTCAGCTGGCATTCTGTGTTCAGTTTAAGAGTTTTTCCTCCTGAAAAGATAAATTAAACAAATTGATTTCGAAATAATCCTTTAATGCGCTCTCTC